CAGATCATCATTCTTACAAATTAAATATATATTTCTAATCCTCAACACATACAGAATCTAATGGGATCATCAATTTCTCAAACAGAAATAATCCAATTTTTCCAAAACCTAACTTACAGGCACTTTTCTATAATTTCGTTCTCTCTCCCAAAGCATCATTTTTACAAATAAAATATATATTCATAATCCTAAATTCATACAGAATCACATAAAACCAATAATTCTCCAAACAGAAATAATTATAAAATTACTCATAATCTTAAGGGCTCTTCCTCTACCCAATTCCCTCATGTAACTCTACATATAAATAATTCTCTTTTCCCTCGTACCTGGATAAACAGCAGTTGAAACCAAAACAGAGATCTCTTGGTCTCCTCCTCTAAGAGCCCCTCAATCTTCAGAGAGTGTAGAAGGGAAAGAAGAGAACGAAGAAGAAAGAAGTCAGAACTGAAAAAACATGATTTTAGGAGTGCCAGAGCACTCAATTTATAGGCATCAGGATTCGCGGAACGGCCTGTTTTGAAATCTCACGTCATAGGTAAAATTCACATCCAGAACGGCCCGTTCCCAAACCAGAACGGCCCGTTCTGGGGTTCGCATTAACACTCTCAACGGTCATATTTTGGAACAGCCCGTTCCGAAACCGGAACGGGCCGTTCTCAAATAAGGTTCAAAGGCCATTTCTGAAATTCGGAACGACACGTTCCAGCTGGGAACAACCCGTTCCCAACTAAGAATCATAGACAAATTTTAGGGTTTGGAACGGCCCGTTCCAAATCTGGAACGGCCCGTTCCGGGCTCCCAAAAGTATGTCTATTTAGTAATTTGGAACGGCCCGTTCCAATTTTGGAATGGCCCATTTCGGGCTACTAAACCACCTTAATTGGGCTCTTGGCCCAGTGAAAATTGGACTGTTACATATTTTTCCAGCAAAAACAAAAATGGTACACAAGAACCTAAAACTCAAGAAAAATCCTAAAACACAAAAGGAGGCTCATGAACAAGTAATGAACCATGAAGCAACATAAGAAGACATTTTTAATAAGGTTTTCATGGATGACAATGAGACCCAAGAAGACGCAAGTGATGAATCAAAAAAAAGATAAAGACTCAAAGAAGTGAAGAAAAATTTAGTTACCCTTGAAGATAACCAAAGCTCATGATACCAAATGATGGACTCCTTCCACTATGGGAGAGACCAAGACGTCCAAGGTGGGAGAGAGGCTCCTTGCTAAGGCCAAGGTGATGACCTCAATGGTGGATATTCCTACAAGGGTGGAGAAATAAGGATGATGGGCGTGAGGTGTTTATGGTGGGCGAATAGGAGGAAGTGGAAGGGAAATGTGTCTAGGTGGTTCTAGGTTTCCATATATATATATATATATATATATAACTTGTATATACAAACTAAAATACTAACCTCAAAATATATACTAATTCGTAAGTTCAACCAATTTCATCTTTTATCTAAGAAAAATGGGATAGAACCCAATATTGTAAGAAATACTTCTTACACTTGTAGGACAGCATTCAACAGGGGTGTGCGATGCATTACCCAACTCAATGAAAAATACTTCAGTTTGGCTTAAGTCAAATTATTATTATTTTCTTTTAAACTCACATCAAACCAATATATGAAGGACAAAATCAGATCAATAAAACATAAATAATTAAAAAATAAAATAACATGTCGGGTCATCAAATTCTACAAATTTAAAAATAAACAACGCATTCCTTATACCAAAAGTTAGGGTTAGTTCAATCCAAACATCATGAAAACCTGAACTAGTGTTTTGGTTCCCAAGTGACCTAAATCTGCTAACACTATCACCATTTATCACTAAATTACAATATTTACCAATCATATCTACAGTTCATCTAACAGACAAAAAAATACTATACAAGTGCATTTTACTTTCTTGTATTTAATAACTAGAAATGCAAAATACACATGTTGCCTTAGATGTTTAGAATACAGCATCGACACATTCCCATTCCACATATTATATGAACTTAAAATTCTTCTTAAAGGTTGATAATTGGTTATAGAAAACTAAATATAATTGAGGTAGACACGTCAATTTATTGAAAACTTGGATAATTGGTTGTTCACGGCAATACCTCAATACAAAGGAGTAATATCTTTCAATTTTCAAGTAACAAAAGGTAATGGAAAGCCTACAATGATCCTAGCTCCTAACTCCGGAGTTGGGAAGACTGAATCAATTGGGTCAATGCAGCAGCAGCATACTGAACAGCTGTATGTTGAGAAGTATAATTGTCACCAAGTCCATATTCTGCATAATTTGTTTCAGCATGCGTGAATTCACCTGCTAATGATTTTTTAGATACAACTTCTTTCCATATATCAATGAACTCCTTCATAATTTGTTTGGAATTTTCAACTGAAGAAATTGGGAGATAATCGATCTGAAAAAAAATGAACATTGAATAATTAAATTCAGAAGGGGAAAAAAAACTTAACCAAAACTAAGAAAGATTATTCCAATCTCCCCTGAAACAAAGAAAACCTATGTTTCAAAGGGAAAAAGATAGTAAAGATGATCAAATTTGTAAGGTCCTCTAGTCTCTAAGCAAAGAAATCATTACATACGAGAGTTAAAATTATTTCCAATAAAAATTTAGTAACTATAAATTTAAATAATCTTTTTAACTTTTTAATTCATATATAGTAATTAAATCTTGAGTTCAAAGTGCACGTTACATTTATCAAAATATTTTTAATTAAAAGATTCAAAGTAAAAATAATCCGATCACATTGAGAAACTCTTACTTAACTTGGGTCCTTCTTTTTTCTTTGATAACAAAATGTTACTAACTTACTACTGTAGCAATCCGAGTAGAACACATGCACACACGTGACACACCATACAACGAGCAAATTAGTCAAGATATGTTTAGAATAAGATACTCCACTAACAACACCTCTAAAAGAAAATGTAAGATTTGTCACTACATATGAATCCCAGAAATGAATTTCATTCTGATCAGAGAGATATTTTGCGATACGAGGATGATTCCTTTCACCATAACATATCCAAACAAGAACAAGAAACCAACATGCATGATCAAAGAACAAGAAACAAACATGCATGATCAAGAATCGAGTGTTCGTCACCTCAACCATAATTCCCTTAAGAGTTTCTGTTTGATGGGGAACAACTTTAATGACTCTTATCTGAAAATCACCCAATTTATAGAGCTCTCCTTCGAAATTAAGGATAGCTTTGGGCTTGTAGGACTGGAGTTTCTCCATGATAACCAAGATAGAAGAATCGGCCTCAAGAACAATCCTCTGGCCGCGAATGATTAAGAAGTATTTGTTGGGAAGCTCCGGCATCGAAATCCCCATAAAATCGCGCGGAAAATCCATTACCGCGGACTGGTCTGGGAAAATGAGAAGGTTTTAGAGAAAAGAAAGACAAAATGCACAAAGCAGAGAAAATATGTAACCTTGTAGATTAGGCTTGTAGAATGTGAGAGAGGTTTTGCAACTTCCTTCTTTGACGCCGTTTAGGGTTTCCACGCACTGCGAGATTTCTTCCAGGACTTGGCTGTTCATCTCGCTTCCTTGATTTGGTTGCCAATGCAGAATACTAACAAACAAAAATCATTTAGAAATAAAGAATTATAAGAAAGAATTGTGAGATTGTTATCGCTCATACCATTTGATAGTCATTGTTGTCCACTGCGATGGTGAATGACTGTGTTGCGTGGCTTAGGGTGGCACTGGCAGTGTGTGTTTGATAGCGGAATCAGTGTGAAATGGAGATGAAGGGAGGGAACCTGTAACTTTAAAACTAAAATCTGTAATTCCTACGGTAAAATGGAATTAATCTATTAATATATTAATATAACAAAAATATATATTTTTTTAGTAACTACTTTTCTCTTCACATTTTATTAATTATTATACACATTTATTTTAAAAAATTAGAAAAAATTATAACACCACCAATATACTTTTATTAATTTATTTTTATTTTATTTTATCTTTAATAGAGATATGAAGTGTCTTGATTTCATTATACCTATAAAAGGAATATATTTTGGTAACTATCTTTTTAATTTTTACTTTTTAGTGGACCATTATACTTCTTAGATGTAAAAAAAAATATATTCTTTTTGAATAACTATTCACAATTTCTAATATTTATTTATGTCTAATTATCAGAACCACGAAATATCTCAACCGTCTAGTAAAAAAGTACAAAGAATTATGTGAATTCCAGGTAGAATTTCTCACCTCTCAAATTGTGTGAATTCAAGCAGAAATAGTATACTTAAAATTTTTATGACATAAATAACTTTAATAAATTTATGTATAAGTAAAAGATAATAATTTTATTCAGAATATGAAAATTAATTAAATGTATTCAATTTTTACTATTTCATATAAAACTAATATTTTTACATCTGAAATGCAAATACATGTTTATTATATTTGATTTATATATAAATGAATAATATGTTTGAAATATAAATTATGTTTCAAATTTATAATAAATAATTTATATTATAGTAAAAAAATTATTTTTATTTATTGA